TATAAATCACTGCTAGGCAAATCCCCGCCTTATCTTAGCTCATTGGTCACCATAGCAGCACCCACCCGTAGTCTGCGCTCCAGCAGGTATATCTCACTGGTCATTCCCAAAGCCAACACCTCCTTTGGCCGCCATTCCTTCCAGTTCTCTGCTGCCAATGACTGGAACGAATTGCAAAAATCTCTGAAGCTGGAGACTCTTATCTCCCTCAATAACTTTAAGCATCAGTTGTCAGAGCACCTTACCGATCACTGCACCTGTACACAGCCCATCTGAAATTAGCCCACCCAACTACCTCATCCCTATATTGTTATTTATTTTGCTCTTTTGCACCCCAGTATCTCTATTTGCACATAATCTCTTGCACATCTAGCATTCCAGTGTTAATACTATTGTAATTATTCTGCACTATAGCCTATTTATTGCCTTACCTCCATAACTTGCTACATTTGCACACACTGTATATATATTTTCTGTTGTATTTCTGACTTTATGTTTTTTTACCCCATATGTAACTCTGTGTTGTTTTTATTGCACTACTTTGCTTTATCTTGGCCAGGTCGCAGTTGTAAATGAGAACCTGTTCTCAACTGGCTTACCTGGTTAAATAAAGGTGAAATAAATAAAAAGATCGTTAATGAATGAAACCATGTGACCAAACATCATCTGACGTCTTGCTCCTCTAAACTGAAGGCAAGCGCGAGAGGAGGAGAGGTTAGGATAGGGATCAACAAGAGGAAAGCAAACGTGACAAAAATATTTCCTAAACAAATTCTGTTTGGCATTTGGACGGCCCTAGTTGAAATATCGGACCTGTCTTGTTGTGGGGGTGGTGGACAATTATTTTTCCGTTTTGGTGAGTCCACTCTAACTCTTTGTCACTGATTCACTGTGTGTGTGTTGAGATGTGTGTGAAGTGTCCTCTTACTCCGGCCTAGCACTCATATTCCTTTAAACACAGAAATATATAACGTTATTCAGTAGTGAGTGCGAGAGCGTGTTGTCACTCAACCGAAGCCCCTGTTTTGCTGAGTGGGCACGCGCTCTGCTCTTCTGTACGCCGCGCCCGCCAGTTTGTGTGTGTGCTGCTGGCTGCCTCCGCAGCGACATCATGCCGTTGGAGCGCTAGACACTCCGTTTTTAAAGGGCTAGCCTCACCGTGCTGTGCAGTTCTCTCTCTCTCTCTCTCTCCCTGCCTGCTGTGTGCTGCTGATTCATCACGATTAGTTGGTTAGCCAGCCAGCCATAGGCTACATGCACAAGCCATGTCAACCAGACTGAGTGGGGGCTTTCTAAGCTAAAGTAGACAAAGAAAGGGCTTGCTTGTCATACATAGGCTAGGCTATAGCATCGCGCTACAGCGCAGAGAGGATACCATGTGCGATGGTTGGGAATGTTTTTGATAACTTAATTGCGAGATAGATTGTTCATATCGAGAGCTACGGGGGGATTGGGAATCCCCCCCCCCCCCTCCTGGTTTTCAGAAATCAGACATCGTAAATCGGTTTACATAGAGTAGCCTAGCTAGAGGAGGAGGGTATATCGTGTATTCTAGGTGTGTAGCCGAGTTGGAACTGTCTAGAAAACGTGATTATAGGTTAGGTGTCTGGAGAGATTCAGAGCAGAACTGTCCGAGTGTTCGGGTGCTGAAACGGAAGCAACCGGAGCGGAAAAACGGGCCGCTCTGGATAGGGACGCAACAACCGCGAGCGCGGTCAGCGTGTGTCTGTCTGTTGCTATTTCAGAGGTAAGATTCATAACAGTTGTTAACGTTGCATAATGATGATAGTGTAAACTCGACGTCACTTTCTAGTTATCTTGATGTCTATAATTGTGTGTGCCTTTGTTTAATATTGCCAAGAAGGTATGTTTGTGTCAAGAGTGAACGAGACAGATGCATGGCTAATTGTATGACATTTGTTTGTTTTTTGGTGTCGGCGGACAGCGGGGTTACAGTTTAAAACGTCTAGCCTCAACCTTTCCTTTCATTTGTGTCAAATCATTTGCACTTAATTAATATTTAGGGAACTATACTTTCTAAACCGTTTATTTCGGTTTATTTCGCGCGACAGTCACATACAGTCCATGGTAGTAACAGCAATTGCGGAAGACATGCTTGCTGATTCATCACAACGTTGTGTTTCTCGCTCGACGGTTGCGCGAGCTGAGTATAGGCACGGAGCGAGGGAGCCATGGCAACATGGCACCGGCGGGTGGACAAAGGTCTAGCGCGAGGAGGGGAGAGGAATGCTTGTGTCTGAATATTGCTACACCATTGCAGTGGTGTGAAAATATATTAGACTACATGGTTTAAAATTATATATATATTTTTAAAGCGACTGTTGATTCAAATAAATCTAGCTTTATAATGCATATGTTATATGCGGCGTTTTTACATGATTGGTCGAAATTCAGCTAAAGGTGAACTGAAAATCGCCATTTGTCACCTCATCGATGGTCAATTCAGATTCCTGAACAAGCTTTACCTATATAAATCCATAGCTTAAAGTAAGCAAGCACCATGTAACGATGATGATAATGAAATAGTTTTGTTAGTGTTTGAGAAACAAGCGCCCCCACCCCAAGGTTGACGCTTCTTAGCAAACATACACACACACACACACGGTACGGTATCAACTTAATCAGTGCTAGCCATTGCATTTCTCATCCCTCTGGTGTTGTTCACAAGTCATTTAATGCTGACCGATGCTTATGTTAGCAACTTTTCTCGCGCGCACACACACACACACACACACACACAACTTTGCTGATTGTGGCGGAGCAGAGAGAATGGAGTGAGAGACGAAGAAAGGAGGAAAAGAATGAGAGAGAGTGAGAACAAGGAGTGTTTTGTCTTCAAGGCATTCCAGAGAAAATGCTGAGGCGAAGAAAACACTCTCTGACTTGACAGATGGTGTTTTCACTTGTTACTTACCACAGAGCCTTTAGCTGTGTGTGTGTGTGTGTGTGTGTGTGTGTGTGTGTGTCTGCGAGACACTGAGAAATGCAGAGTAGCCCCTGTGTGTGTGCTACTGTAAGAGCAGAAACACATTCAAAGAAACTAAGTGGTTGGTGTGGGTGGAAGGTGTGGGTGGAAGGTGTTTAAGTTATTTTATGTCAACCCTTGCATTCCGCTGGAGTTGTTTGTTTACATGCTCTCTCTCTCTCTCTCTCTCTCTCTCTCTCTCTCTCTCTCTCTCTCTCTCTCTCTCTCTCTCTCTCTGTGTTCTCTCTGTTTTCTCTGTATACTTTTTCCTTCTCTCTCTCCCTAACAGACACTGAGTGTACAAAACATTCCATGACATAGACTGACCAGGTGAATCCAGGTGAAAGCTATGATCCCTTATTGATGTCACTTGTTAAATCCACTTCAATCAGTGTAGATGAAGGGGAGGAGACAGGTTAAAGAAGGATTGTAAAGCCTTGAGACAATTGAGGCATAGATTGTGTAAGTGTGCCATTCAGAGGGTGAATGGGCAAGACAAAATATTTAAGTGCCCTTGAAATGGGTATGGAAGTAGGTGCCAGGCGCACTGGTTTGTGTCAAGAAATGCAACGCTGCTGGGTTTTTCATGCTCAACAGTTTGCCGTGTGTATCAAGAGTGGTCCACCACCCAAAGGACATCCAGCCAATTTGACACAACTGTGGGAAGCATTGGAGTCAACATGGGCCAGCATCCCTATGGAACGCTTTCGACATCTTGTAGAGTCCATGCCCCGGCGAAATGAGGCTGTTCTGAGGGCAAAAGGGTGTGCAACTCAGTATTAGGAAGGTGTTCTTAATGAGAGAGATGTTGAGAGAGAGAGAGAAAGAGAGATAATATTGTTGTTGTAGTTGCTGTTAATGGTAATCCCATTTCCACTACTACTATTATTATTATTGGTGTTGGTCCAACCATTTTTGTTATATCTATACTTTGACAATGTAAGTAATTTTACTTGCCAAGTCAATAAAGTATATTGCATTGAAGAGAGAGAGAGAGAGAGAGAGAGAGAGAGAGAGAGAGAGAGAGAGAGAGAGAGAGAGAAGTGAGGAGAGAGGAGATGAGAGAAGGGGAGAGCGAGGAGAAAAGAGGGTAGAGAGAGTATACCCGCTAGCGGCGTGCTCGAAGCTAATCTCTCGAGCTGAGCTCTCGCTCTTCGCTCTCTCTCTCTCTCGCTCCTCTACTCTTCCGCTCGCTTCCCCCGAGCATGTTTGATAGACATGCTATTATTGACCCCCTCCCCCTCACCCAAGGGCCTCTTGAATGGGCCGGGTTGTTCTGAGCCTAAACCCCCTCTCGTTCTCCCCCATTCTTTTCCATCTGTCGGTAGGATTGGATGATGGTTTTGCACCTTTTTTTTCTGGCATTTTTTTTTTGAGTGTGTTATCATCTTTTCCCCCTGGGTGTGTTTTTTTGGG